AATACATATTGGAGAGAGGTTCTTTGAATACAACTACTGTTGTATGAGACTCACGTTCACTAATTGAAGAGGCTACAACCTACAACATCTAAAAGTTCTTATGTTATAGTTTAATGATATTTCTCTTTATTTGTAAGTGAAAGGTCTTAGATTTGATTTTCGCCGAAAACAAATTTGAACCACATTATTGCTAACCCATTTTGAGGCTTAACATACCCCCTCATTCTTAGTATAGATAATATCGTTGTTCAAAATAAAAAGTTTGTTAGAGGGCACATTGTATTAAGATCAATTACTTTAATGTATTATCTACCCATTTTCTAATTAAAAACACATTATTACAAATCTTATAAGTATATCAAAAATTAAAAGAAACATTGCCAAAGGTAGATAAAAATAAATAAATAAATTGTGATGTATGTAGAATCTATGATTGTAACATAAGGAAGAAGATCATGTAAGCCTTATATGTACATTCTCCCATCTCTATCTAGCACGAGGCATTTTAGGAGCTCACTGGCTTCGGATTCCATCGGAACTCCGAAGTTAAGCAAGTTCGCGCGAGAGCAATCCCATGATGGGTGACCCACTGAGAAGTTCTTGTGTGAGTTCCTATAAACAAAACCGTGCGGGCGTGGTTGGGGCCCAAAACGAACAATATCGTGCTACGGTGGAGTCAAGCTCGGGATGGGGTGGGGGCCCGGGCCGGGATGTTTGGGGACTCACTGGCTTCGGGTTCCATCGAAACTCCGAAGTTAAGCGAGATCGTGCGAGAGCAATCCCAAGATGGGTGACCCACTAGGAAATTCTCGTGTGAATTCCCAAAAACAAAATCGTGAGGGTGTGGTCGGGGGCCCAAAGCAGATAATATCGTGCTACGGCGGAGTCGAGCCTGGGATGTGGTGGGGGGCCGGGATGTGACAATTTGGTATTAGAGCCAATCCCTGGCCGGAAGTGTGTCAACAAGGACGTCGGGCCCCTGAGGGGGTGGATTGTAACATCCCACATCGTCTAGGGGAGTGGATCATCTAAGCCTTATATGTATATTCTCATCTCTATCTAGCATGAAACCTTTTAGGGACTCACTGGCTTTGGGTTTCATCGGAACTTCGAAGTTAAGCGAGATCATACGAGAGCAATCCCAGGATGGGTGACCCACTGAGAAGTTCTTGTGTGAGTTTCCAGAAACAAAAATGTGAGAGCATGGTCGGGGGCTCAAAGCAGACAATATCGTGTTACGGCGGAGTCGAGCCCAGGATGTGGTGTGGGCTCGGGCCGGGATGTGACAATGATAGAGGTAAACTGTGAACAAAAACCTATTGTATAGATAGATAATACAAAATAATATGTGGTACAGATAGACTATGAACAAAAACATATTGTATAGGTAGATAACACAACTAATCTGTGATAGATAGGTAGATAAACACAATTAATCTTAGATAGACTATTAACAAAATATGTAATATATATAGGTAGATGAATACAATTATTCATGATACAGGCACAATATAATATAAAAAGATATAAAATAAAAAAAGGGACAAGTGATATAGATAGATAAAAACAAAAAAAAAATCATGAAGAAAAATGATATCGAGGGAGGAAACGCTAGAGAAAATGCTAATTCGATGGAACTTCAAAGTTAAAAAAATTATATATATATATATATATATATATATATATAAAGGAGAATGAAGCAAAAAAAAAAAAAAAGATGGGACGAAGAACCCAAAACACAAAATTGACTAATGCAATTTTTTTTTTTAAACCAATCAAATGTATATTGATCATCCTTGTGGAAGAGGAGAAGAAGAATATTATGGAAGAAGATTAATGGGCAAAATAATGCAAGAAGAGAAAGATAGGGAGAAACAAGAAAAGAGAATTGAAACAAGAAAAAAGAAATGAACGGTTTGGGGAAGGGGAAGAAAAAAAAGGAGATTTAAATCCCTAATCCTATAATTAAGGATAAGATTAACATTAATCACAAACTTAAAAAAAACAGTAATTACTTAATTGGTCAATTTAAGGGTAAATTTGGCAAGAGAATACAAATAAGCTTATGTGGACAATGAATCACTGGACCTAACCCAAAAATTAAACAAAATTGGACTATAACTAATAATGGCTCATAAATGGGACTCATATTAAGTTTCCCCAATTTTTAAACCAAATAATGTGTCACTAGTGACACTTAAGTAATAATCTATCTTTTTTTTCTTCTAATTATGCCTTTATTTTATTAAATAGCTCATAAATCGGACTCATATTAAGTTTCTCAAATTTTTAAACCAAATAACGTGTCACCAGTGACACTTAAGTAATAATCTATGATTTTTTTTCTTCTAATTATGCCTTTATTTTATTAAATAACAATTTAATCAGCAGATGTGTTTATGTCAAACTACCAAATAAGTTATTAAAATACTAAATTCGCCATCTTCTTCACATCTTTTTTCTCGGCAAGAACTCCCCTAAAATATTCAACGCAGACATGCATAGCATATGTGCCAATGTTAATTCGAATTGTCACCATCAAAACTCCATACCATTCCATTCACAAAAATAATTGGGAAGCTGTCTGTTATGTTCTTCCTATCTTTCTTCTTGGGATTCTCTTATTATTATTTGCGTTTTCTCAAAATTATGTCATTTGAATACTGTCACATTATTTTTGGCTCAATAAAATGACAAAATTCTAAGAAAACAACCAAACCGACCATGTTTTTCAAAATTTCAAAATATTAAATTGCAAAGGATGCAACCGTCCATTGCCATATTTGAAGCTTCCTTTGTCATATAATTCTTTCAATGTTTAAAAATAAAGAAAATTATGGAGGCATGTGGAAATAAAAAAAATTGTAAAAGTAGACCGACCATGGTTTATGAATGATATCTTATGAGAGTCAAATAAATAATTACATATTTTTCTATGGATCCTTCAGATAGAATCCCTATGTTTTCATTCATTTCTATGAGACTTGACTATTAAAGTGGCAGAAAGCGTGTGATCTAAGAGATTGTAAATTTAATGTCACGTGAAGCATCACGTGATTTACTCGTGAATTAGCAAAAATATTTCTTCGAAAAATAAGCAAACAATTTCATAACTTTTTGATGAGGAAAATAGGCTTGAAAATTGATAAAAGTTAGAATTTATAAGTTGATATGCACAACTTCTCTTCTTTGAATTTGTTTGTACCATACTTGACCAATCCCGAAACTACCGAGCACCGGCCAACGCTATACTGTCAAGGACCCAGAAGAGTTCCCCTCCGACCAGGAGGCCAATCACTACTCGACACGTGTCAAGATTAGAAGCCAATCAGAGCGCAGCACGTGTCAACATCAAGAACCAATCATAACATGACACATGTCAATGTGACAAAGCTACAAGTTTTTCTATAAATAGGGGTCATTCCCCCACAATATTGCCTAATGCCATTTTGTGTGAAATCATTCACAAGAACTCACTAAATTGAGAGCTTGATCCTTTGTACTTGTGTAAGCCCTTCACTACTAATAAGAACTCCTCTACTCCGTGGACGTAGCCAATCTGGGTGAACCACGTACATCCTGTGTTTGCTTCTCTGTCTCTATTCATTTACGTACTTATCCTCACTAGTGACCGAAGCAACCAAGCGAAGGTCATAAAACCTGACACTTTCTGTTGTACCAAAGTCTTCGCTGATTTTGTGCATCAACAGAATTCATAAACATACGTGAAAAAAATTTGGAATATGGAATTTGGAACTTCAATTTCCAAGTTTAAATTCCATGTAAATATGTGTCGTTTCCGAATTTATATGAGTGAGAGTTTAAAAATAACAAATTATGTATTCAAATTATATTGTTCTTTTAAGTTGATCAAACAAGAAAATTTATAAATTCTAAAAAATAAAATTTCGTTATTTCATTTTCCGTCATTTTAATTTGTTTGTTAGTCTTAAATTTTCTCATCCAAACACAATGTAAAGTATTGGTTTCCAATTTGTTACTGATGAGAGTTGAATTGAAGACCTTTCACTAAAGAAAAATCTTACTAGAATATAATACTAGTGAAAAAAAAATGAAAGTTAACTAAAATATTTCAAATAAAATGTGGATTCATGTGCAAGAGTTTGTAATTCAATAGGTTACAAATATAAGTTCTTCCATCTAAGATCCTAAGTTCAATTCTTCATTCCTCACTATTTGCTTGTATAGGAAAAAAATTTGAATCGATGTGGTCCATGTGGATGTACATTTGGTCATTAACCAGTTCTTCACAACAAAACATCGGTCTTTGTTGCACTAAAGTTCGAATTATCCTTCCACAATACATAAAGAAAGAAAAAGAATCCCTAATTTCATTGGTGATCCATCTCACAAATTATTGGGAGGTCAGAATGAAAATAATGCACATTACGTGTAAAAAAATTTGTACATTAACAATACGTAAATTTTTTCAGTGTGGCATTTTGTCAAACAATTGGTGGGCTTTACTCATATGCCAAGCCATGTAGAGCGCACAAAGACGTTGTCAAGTGCTGCTGAGTCTCACTCAGACATTTTGTTGAAAGCCTTATGTGCACAAAGTGGATTACTACTTGTACAATCAAATGGTCATTGAAGATATTCCTCAACAATTTCCCAATTATCATGAAATTAACTGATCACATTAACCCCCATATGGATCCGCCTCAACACAATCTCTTTTGCACCAAAGTTTGAAAATCATGTGTCAAATAGAGAAAAAAAAAACGAATCACAAATTCGTCTACACAAATAGTAGAGCTCACAACAACATACATGGGGATTCTCTTAGGCTACCCTTAACTCTCTCCTTAACCTTGCCTACTACTACCAAGTCAAGTCAACCGGTCCATCACCTACCGATCATGGCATTCTCGTAAAATCTTAACCCAATAGGGGCAATCCGGGAACATTAACATTGTCTTCATCCGTTTGACTTGGCATGAAAGCAAATAAAAACAATAAATAATAACAAAATCCATGAATTTAACAAAAGACAGAGAAATCAAATCCTTCAGACCCATTTTTAGTTATGTGCAGTTATTAAATTGCTGGGAGGTTGCCAAAAATTAAAAAAATCCAAAATTTTGAATAGAAAGAGCAACAAAGCGAAGGAAAGTGTGGGAAAGTGAGGGTTTTTATTTCTTAATTTTTATTTCATATTTTGAAACTCTGGTTGGTTTTTGAGCTGCTGTCACAAAGCATTGTTCTTGCAATCAAACAGGTGGGGGGACCTAAAAGATTCAAAATTTGGAGCTTTCTGGGTACAGAAGCATTGTTCTTGCAATCAAACAGGTACTTGGTGGGTTTAATTTCATATTATTGCTTTGAATTTGACCTAGTTCTTTGCTTTTTTGGTTTTTTTTCTGATCGTAGTTTGGTTTTCTGGGTTTTTTTTTTCGGATTTTGATCTGGGAGTTGATTCATGTTGTTTATGTATGCATGTATTATGTATGTATGTATGTATGTATGTATTATACTGGAACTGTGGAGTGAGCTATTAAGGTCATGCTTTATTTGGTTTACGACTGTTAATTGGTGAAGGAATTTTTTTATTAACCCATAAAAGGGGGAAAGTTTCATAAAGTAGTTGGATTTCTTAATTATTTGTTCTGTTTGTAATGGTTTATGATTATTGATAGGTATTTCCGTATGCGGCGATACATAATCAAGCTTAAAACTCAACAATCATATTCTGTTCTTCGTCTTCGTTTTTTGTTAATTGTAGGTTGCAGAAGTAGTTCTTTAGTTTTGGCTTTTCACATTGACTGAAGAAATAAGTCATAAAACAGAGAAAATACGGTGCCCGATGATTGGAGTTGGTTGTTGCTGAATCCTACACGCATACAAGGTGGGTGGTAAATCGGGTTTGGAGAAGTTAGTTGGCTAAGGTGGTTAGAATTTTAGGCGTGGATGTGTTTAGGCTTGACCTAAAGGATTTAACACTCATTTTCAATAGGGTGGGAAGAAGGACTTCTTATAGTATGATATAAAATGCGGAGATGCAACATTTTCATATTTTCACTTATTGAAATTAAGCAAAAGAAGATCTATGATATACATATTTTACCAAATGAAGCATTTCTCTTTCAAGACTACTGAAGCTTCTGGATTTTTTATGGACAATAGAAACCAGACGCTTATTGAAGCTTGTTTTCTGTTTCAGTTTTTCTCCCTGAAAAAATCGGATAGGAGTTGATTCATTGCCTGAGGTTTTGACAGTATTTTGGTGTTGAGGTGAGGAAGAAATTCAAACAATGGTATGACTGAACAATTAAGAACGCAGCAGAGTTCCAATACAATTCCATGGAACCTGGGAGGGATGACTACCGACCTGTATCCCAGTCATACATGCCGGACTCTCTGGGCAGCATGCATACTAATATGAGATCTAATGACATTAAACCAGAAGTTAAACCTGCACATAATTACTCCATACAGACCGGAGAGGAGTTTGCTCTTCAATTTATGCTTGACCGGGTGAACCCCAGAATTCCTGTACATCCAAATGCTGGTGGCGATCCAAATTATGCAACAAACTATGTTGAACTGAAAGGAATTTTAGGAATCAGTCATACAGGCTCTGAGAGTGGTTCAGATGCTTCAATGCTTCCTAATGCTGAAAGGGGTCCAAAACAGTTTGAACAAAAGAGCTCAGCTTTACATGATGATAGAAATAACCATGCATCTGTTCAATCAGTACCACGAGCTTTATCAGGCTATGAAAATAGTCATATGCGTGGATATGCCTCTTATGCAGCCTCTGATAGCTCATCAACGAAAATGAAGGTTCTCTGTAGCTTTGGTGGTAAAATCTTACCCCGACCGAGCGATGGGAAGCTCAGGTATGTTGGAGGCGAAACACGCATTATCCGTGTTAGAAAGGACATTTCCTGGCAGGAGCTTATACATAAAGCTTTATCAATTTATAACCAAGTGCATGTAATTAAATATCAGCTTCCTGGAGAGGAACTTGATGCCTTAGTTTCTGTATCTTGTGACGAGGATCTGCAGAATATGATGGAAGAATGGAATGAAGTAGAAGATAAAGAAGGACCACAAAAGCTTAGGATGTTTTTGTTCTCCATGAGTGATTTGGAGGAAGCTCAGTTTGGTCTGCACAGTGCGGATGGTGATTCTGAGGTTCAGTATGTAGTTGCTGTCAATGGAATGGACCTGGGGTCAAGAAAAAATTCGACTCTACATGGTTTGACGACCACTTTAGCAAATAATTTAGATGAGCTCAATGGACAACATATTGAGAAGGAGACAAGTAGGGTTGCAAAAAACTCAGTAGGGTTAGGCACTTTGAATTCAACTGCCAATATTGTTTCATTGAGAACTGTTCAATCTTCCGAGCCAATCCTGCCTAACCCTTCAAATGCCTTTGAAGCTTATCCTCCTTTTCAGCATACGGACGTGATGCATTATGGACAAAATATGCAGTACCCATTGCACAATGGCCATGCCCTTCCAAGTCACTCCCCATTTGGAGGAACTGTATCGGTGTCTAATCATGGGATTTTAAATCTACAAGGAGGTTCAATTGAAGGCCAGCCATCCAGTGGCTCAAGAGAACAGAACTTCGAGATGCCAGTAAAGCAGGTGAAACCCAAATACGATGATTTACTGCAGCAAGAGAGTGACCCTGAAAAACTCCGTCCCTCAGGAGTAGAGGACTCTGTTCCTTTACAGCCATATGATGGAAGTTTGATGAACTATCATGCTGTCAAAGAAGCATCAAAAGATGAAAGAAAGTACCAGGAACCTGAAAAGGTTGCTTCGTCAATTGATCCAGGGAACCCAATTCTGGTGCATAAATCTAGTGAAGTTGAGGATAGTTTCACAACTAGCAATGCATTTGCTCCTGCTTATGCTGACCATTTGTCCAATGGAATTGATTCGGGTTGCCACGAGCTACCTGTGCTTCCTAAGAGAGTCTACCACTCAGAAAGAATTCCCAGGGAGCAGGCAGAGTTGCTGAATCGATCAACAAAGTCTGACGATTCTCATGGTCCTCCGTTTCCCGTTACTCTTTCACGTTCTGATATCACCAGGCAGGATCCAGTCATGGAAGGAGTTAACAAATTACAGGAACATGGCAACCTTACTCCTCCGACTGAACAATCTACCCCAACAACATATATCGATGCTCAAACTGTTGATGATGGACTCGTCCAACTTCAAAAGTACAAGGAAGTTGCTGATTCAGTTTCTCAGATGAATGCAAAGCTTTTGCAAGATGTAGATGGTGAAGTAAAGCGGGCATTGCCAAACCATATGGTTGATAAAGTTGCAGAAGCTGGATCTGAGTTTCCAGATGTAAGTCGGCTACCTTCTGGAAAGCAACATGAGGTATCTGCATCTAATCATTCTGAGGTTAATCAGAAAGAGGACACCAGCAAGGATCCAAGGGCTGTAGACACTATGGGACATGCAGAGCTCACTTCTTTGACAGGGAAGTTATCTAAAGATGCTTCTCAAGAAACAGCTTCAGTTGGTGTTTCTACCCCAGTGCAGGGAGACATCATTATTGATATTGAAGAACGATTTCCCAGAGATTTCCTGTCAGATATATTCTCCAAGGCAATACTTTCTGAAGACTCCCCTGATATTGGTTTGTTGCAAAAGGATGGAACTGGTTTGAGCTTAAATATGGAAAATCATGAACCAAGACGCTGGTCATATTTCCAGAAGTTAGCACAAGAAGGGTTTGATAAAAAAGATGTTTCTCTTATGGACCAGGATCTTGGTTTTCCGCCTGTGATTGGAAATGAAGAAGGTAGATCTTATCATGCGACACCGTTAACAGGAGAAGGAGCTGGTCCTCAGCCTAAATTTGTGGAAGACATGCGCACAGAGTTGCCTGGAATGGCTAAAGCTAATGCAACAGCTCTGCACTCTAATTATGGTGATTCCCAAGTGAAGGACACTGAAAGTATGCAATTTGAGGGAATGATGGAAAACGTAAGAGCGCAGGAGTTGGAGTATGAGGTAGTCTTTTGATCAGGTCTCATTTTTCTTAACAAATTGCTTCTTTGCTAACAATGTTTCATTTACTCTTTTATCAAAAAATGTTTCATTTACTTTGATATAGGATGGGAAGTCTGCAAGCAGAAAAGCTGGTTTACCTCCTTTAGATCCTTCTTTGGGAGATTTTGATATCCGTACCTTGCAGGTGTGATGCTTACATGTTCAATAACTTGATACAAATGATTTCTCATAATAACTTGCTTAGGTAAACTAATACCTATTAATTGATTGATTATAGCAAAAGAGATACAAACAAAAATTTGGCTTCATTCGAGTGTAGCTTGTAGTAGGAAAAGCGTTTTTTTAGTGTATTTAGAGCTTAGCTTAGGATTCGAATCTGGATAATATTTGTGTGTGAGTCCATGCATGTATTGGTGTATGGTCACACACACACAAAGAGTCATCCCTAACTTTTAATGTGTAATGTTTTATCCGGGAAATTTTGAAAACTCTGAATGGTCTTTGGTTGTTTTATTGTTGTTAGAGCAGTTAGTTCCCCGGTTACTTGGTTATTTGTTCTTTTATACTTCTAAACAGACTTGCTATTGAATGCAAAGGACCTGTTATTTTTGGCATTGGTTAACCTACTTTGTCTGATAGTAAAGACTTTCCGTTTTACTTCTGTTTGATTCTTTCTTCTTCATGGACATGATAGTTAATAAAGAACGAAGACCTTGAACAGCTGAAGGAACTGGGTTCTGGTACCTTTGGGACTGTATACCATGGAAAATGGAGGGGCAGTGATGTTGCCATTAAGAGGCTAAATAAGAGCTGCTTCACTGGGAGATCGTCAGAGCAAGAGAGATTGGTGATCATTACTTCCCACCTGAATTTTGTAATGAAACTCACATTTATTGAAGCAAGTAGACGAAATATGATCGCATATTTTTATTGCTTCTGTGACACGTTAATATTTTACTTTTCAAGGCCTTAATGATTTTTCTTACTCCATTGTCAGATTATAGAGTTCTGGCGGGAAGCTGACATTCTTTCAAAGCTTCACCATCCAAATGTTGTGGCATTTTATGGTGTGGTGCAAGATGGACCAGGGGGAACACTTGCTACTGTTACGGAGTACATGGTTGATGGTTCTCTTAGGCATGTCTTACTTCGAAAAGACAGGTTTGTTCATTGATTACCATTCTTTATGGTCATAGTTTGTTTCATGCTTTCATATATCATAGATATACTTTCATCCATCTGTTTCAGATTCACTGTTTCTGAATGGAAGCAATTGTTTCTTTCTTTTTCACCTTCTTTCTCTGAATCTTCAAATGCAGGTATCTCGATCGCCGCAAGCGACTAATAATTGCCATGGATGCAGCATTTGGAATGGAATATTTACACTCAAAGAATATTGTGCATTTTGACTTGAAGTGTGACAACTTACTCGTGAACCTAAAAGATCCTGCACGGCCAATTTGCAAGGTAATTATTATGAAATTACTGTACTGATTTAGGAAAATGATTATTTCTCTCTCTTTGCAACTTACATTCCAATAACATGTGTGGCTTCCTAGGTCGGTGATTTTGGGCTTTCAAAAATTAAACGAAATACCCTGGTTTCTGGTGGTGTACGGGGAACATTACCATGGATGGCCCCAGAGTTGCTGAATGGCAGCAGCACCAAGGTCTCCGAAAAGGTAATATTTATTTTTAAGTTTTTTTTGTTTAAATTTTATTTATATATCTTTTACAGTGGAGATAGAAGTAGATAGATAGTAAGTGATAGACTGTGTACCGACGAATTGCAGTTAGATTCAGCGAACTATAACATGATTGAAGTTTCATACCTGGATCTCTTGATTAAATGTCGTAGGTTGATATTTTCTCATTTGGCATCGTCTTGTGGGAGATTCTTACTGGCGAGGAGCCATATGCCAACATGCACTATGGAGCAATCATAGGTAATTGTCTTACTCTGTCCCTTTCGTTGAGCTTGTGCTTGCATGTCAGTATAGTTAAACCGCTTAAGACTGATGTTTGCCTCCGGATTTAATTTTGTCGAATTTTATTTTGATTACCTGCAGGAGGTATTGTAAATAACACGTTGAGACCCACCATTCCAAGCCATTGTGATCCCGAATGGAAAACGCTTATGGAGCAGTGTTGGGCCCCTAATCCTGCAGCCAGGCCATCTTTCACAGAAATCACCAGATGCTTACGAGTAATGACTACAGCGGCTAGCCAACCTAAAGCACAGGGTCACAAAGCTCCTAAATGATAATTTGAACACTTGAATTGTGTCGTTTTTGCACGATTTAGACGCGATATTTCATTCGTTCAATCGTTAACACATAAGATGGTGTGTATGATATCCTGATCGGAGCATAGATCCGTGGTTTCCACTATTTCCGGAATGGAACTGGCTCCGAGCAGTTTCTTTTGTTTTACTGTATTCCCACGAAATTCACGAAATTGTAGCGGATTGTTTAAGCTTTTCGAAAGAGAATGCACGATTTGGTTTTTTCTGTTCATGCATCCGTGCATTTATTTTCTACCAATTTGGCTATAAAACGCAGCCAGGTAAGGTAACATCAGTAAGAAAATGTTTAGGAATCAAAATCTGGCATCGTGTTCCTGATCCCAAGTTATTACTTTCGAATATGAAATGAAATGACTATGCCAATGGCTTAACTGAATCGACCAGCTGCAACCACGGTGATATGACAGCGGAGGCGAAGTAGGAGTCTAGGAGGAAGACACGCTGTGCGCTTGCCATGCCGATGCCAGCATTATCGGCCTGCCTTTCCACCCGAGGAGGAGACAACCCTTCTCACTAGCCAAAGTGTAGCCATCACAGCCATAAACAGATAGCATCATCCTTGCTTGACTTGTACACTTCAACCCCATCACTTGAAACCCGGCTCGCCCTAATTGCCTTCTCCACTGGTCTGCCCTCTCATGCCTCTCAATCCTATTTAATCCCTCAAAAGCAACAATGTTTCTGATTTCGTCCGCGAAGTGCTGCCTCTCGATCTTCATCCTCTGAGGGCTGTTTCGTGGGAGGCTAGCCTCAAGGGAGTCGAAAATTGCTGAGTAAAAGTGAAGAGACTCGAGGAATCTCCCGAGGAAAAATGGCCCGTTGTGGTTTGCATCTTGTTCTACCAATGTAAGCACAGATGGACCTAATTTCTTCAGAGCTTGAAGAATTGCCTTCAGAGAGCCTCTACTCTCTTTGACATACTTATGCAAGTGCATGATGCTATTGACAAATAATGCTTCCCCTTCTCTCAAGTCTAGGTTCTCTCTTGTTAGGAGTGATGGTTTCACCGGCTCCGATATCAAACTAAATTCTGTTGGTATCCCTAGCGAGCTAGCCTCCTCCACCAGAGCTCTCATGCCAGCTTCAAGCTCAAACAGATTGTGATCTTCAACGAGTCCGGTGATTCGCAGCTTCTTAGGCGGGCCTTCGGGTCTCGATGCTAGGGTTCTAATCAAAGAAGGCCACTGAAGAGTGTGCTCCATTCCCAAATCAATGATGTGCAAGTCTTCCTTCCCTTGCGCTGCTTGGCATATAGCTTCATTGGCAACCATGAAACCGAAAGCGATGTAAGGAGTTGTTTGGTTAAGGAGTTGAAAAGCTTCCAACTTGTCGTCCCTAGAGGTCACTGAAACATCCATCATATCGTTGTTGAATGTGCCATTTATGTTGACATTTTGAAGAAGCGAAAGCCTTGATTTCAATCCCATTGCAAAGCAGTATGAAACTCTTTGCAAGGAGTCACCCCAAGGGCTCACAGATGCCCAAATTTGGGCGAGCAATGAGTCTGCAAGCTTGGTGTCCCTGCAGCCAACAGCCTCGGCACAAGCGAGCAACATGTGCACCAAGTTAAGCCCTTGGTCCACACCATGGCTCGCCACCTCAACCCCAGGCATCATCTCAGTTTTCGCAACCCGAAAATCTTCCGCCAAGCCACTCATATCCACATGATCATCTTCTTCCTCCATCATCATCAGAACATCTCCATACAGATCATCTGCCATTGAAAATGTCTCGATCCCATCTTGATCATAGTACTCAATACTACTACTACTTTGTTGTTTCTCCATGGACTGAATGTCATGATCATCAATGCAATGATCCATGTTGATGAAGCTATCGACGAATTCGTCAACCTCTGAAGGAGGCAAGCATGGAGTGCTAGTGGTGTGAGAGGATGAAGAAAACTCAATCTCATTTAGCATTTCATCCCACTCTCCACCTCCACCTCCTCCTTGTTCTTGCTCAACTCGCGCCGGACAAAACCTCCGAATGGCGAGATCATGGTTGAGGTTCTCATGCAAGGGGAAGGAGAGCCAAGCATTGAAATCTTCCATTGCTAGGTTTTGGAGGAGTTTGCAGGGAGAGAATAGCAAGAGGAGGATAAATGCTTTTAGGAACTTAAGTGGTTCTGGTTCCCCTACTCACATAGTGTACCTTTATTAACAATGCTGATTTAGAATATTCCCTTTGTTTTGAGGCGATGGGCAATCATCTCTAGTACAAAATAATTGAACTATTCCAGGGAGATTAATGCTTAGTTTTTAATTCAATTTTGAAGCTTAATATTTTTATTCTTAACATATATAGAAGGTGAAAAATAATTAATTTTTGTAAGTAGAGGGAGGTTTTTGTTTCATTAGCAAGTTTATTGGCAACTAGTTCTTGAAGGTGGGATAAGCTTGGACATTTAAGACACTAATGGAAACCGAGCGCTAGTTATGCGTGTGAGAGATGTCTGATTGTAAATCACTTCAGAAACCGCGTTTAATCAGTGATTAGAAATCATTCACGCACGCATGAGCGACTGACCTTAACATAACTCTAATAAATTTCAACGTCACAGGTAAAACAATCAGGCATTATGCTTAGTGGTTATGCATCATATTTGGATTCCCCCACCCTTCCTCGGAGGGAACATGATAAGGTGGGAAACAGCAAGGTTTTCTTGTTCCTAGATGTAGAAAGGTTTGGAGGGATGAAGGAATTGTGGTAAAATTTGCATACAAGTAGCCGGACGGCCTTAAAAGACAAACGGATTGGGACTTTTTGGTCGGTAACATCAACAAATAGTGCGGGGTCCACAGTGTTAATTGGGTGTCATTTGTTGTTTGTCACTAGTCCCTCTCGCCTCGGTCGGCAAAACAAGCAATGAGACACAGTAGGGGTGCCTCACAGCTCACACAGAGTCTCTGTTTTGCTTGCAATTGCAACCGGTTTGGTTTTGGAGTAACGTAGCAATGTCAACCCTAATTAAGCAGCTCATATTGTATTGTCGGTTGCTTTATTGATAAGGACTTGTTAAGGTAAAGAGTTTTTCTATAATGCATTTGTCCTTTGTGTTGTTGAGAAAATTAATTTTACATCGAGAAAAGAATGAATTTTATGCGCTTGTAAAGAGCTGAGCTGTTTTTATTGCGTTAATTGGTTTTAAGGTAAAACTTAAACTTTCTTTTGTATCAAAGCAGGTCGTCTTACATATAAAGTTCAATGGCTACACATGTTCTACGTTATTCAATTTGTGTTGTCTATGTGTTATGGTTGAAAATTCACATGTGAACAATAAAGAAGAAAAAATGGGAACTTCGGAGTAGAAGAAAATGGATAACTTGGAAGTGGGTCGGGACCATCCTGATATTATGTGGATTCAGAGAACTTATATGGCACGAGCATATGAAATGTCACCGGAGCGATGTACTTGTGTCATACAAAAGCCCGCTTTACTTAAGTATGTGGACTTTTATGAAGAAGTGAGAGCTCTCATTTAGGTAGCTTTTGCAGTTGCAGGCTTATGGATCAATTGGCCCTCCCAAACTCACCTCCCTCCCTCCCTCAACCATGCCGGCCACAACCCTAACTAGATATCGGCCCAAAGCTTGAGAGATTTCGTACGGTTGATCCAAAATTTTAAAATAAGTTCAAAACAACACCATTTAAATGTTATTGTGCGATCGGCCGCACAATGGCATATTAGAGCTGGTGTTCATAGACCAAATGATGCATTGTCCGTCCCCTATCATTTTCCTCAACTACTCTAAGCTAAGCGTAGTGTAGCCATAAATTGCTTCAAATCATGTATTTTTAAGCTTGTGACGCAGGATATAAAACCTACCTCTGTCACTGCAGCTGCACTCGACCCTTTTATAGGATGATGAGAGCACTCTAGTGGGTTTGGTAGTTTTTATAAACACGTGATTCCGACCGTCATACATCGAATTTCTCCATGTTCACATTGTCCAGTGTCAATCGAGTAATAAATGATGGCCCATGTAAGCAGTCGCATGACCTCATGAAATTGCTCCACGGCCTCTCCTGCATGCTTACCTGGAAAAAAATGTTATTACCGAAATACCCCTTACCCCGTATAAACCATGTAAGCAGTCATTTTTCTCATACGTCACGGTCGCATACGCGAGCATTCCTGTCCACTGTAGCTCCAGTGAACGCTCGAAACGTGGCAGTTCTGAACATAACTCCACGATAGTCAGAACTCAGTGTTCGAAACGTGTCAACATATCCATGCTTCCTCCCTTAACTCTCTCTCTCTCTCTCTCCCACCCTCCCTCCCTCCCATAACTCTCTCTCTCTCTCTCTGTAAGTAAAAACCCAAACATTTCAAACTTTCTCTGTCCCTCCCTTTTAACCCTCTCACTCTCGCTCTCTAGATTCTTCTCTCTTTCTCTCTCATAGGGTTTCTGCCAAGGAGAAGATTCAGCTAAGCTTTACTGGGTAATTTTTAATTCTACTTTTTTCTTTGGGTGTTCTGAGGAAATTGTCTGCTGGCTTGTTATTTTGTTTGCATCCTCTGTTTGGGTGCTGGGAAAGTTTAGGCAAGAAAAATGGAAAATTTTCCATCTTTATGTGTTTATGTTGTTCTGGATCGTGTTGTAATTCGTGGGTTCACTTAATTAAGCACCCAATGGGAAAAAAGGACTAGAATTTTAGTTTTTTTAGCAACCAAATAGTGCATTAGGAGCTTGAATGTGGATAATATGAAATCAAAACTTCCCTAATCCTCTCTTAACTGTTTGTTTATACAATTTTAACTTGTTAGTTAACAGTAATGTATTATTTAAGCTTTACTTGTTAGAAACTTGAAGGCGTGCGGTTAGCGAGTGACTGTTTTTTAGATTCTTCTGTGATTGATTATGTTTTAGTATTCTTGTTTTTTTTTCAAGGGTTTGTGTATATATTGTTTGTGATTATATAAATATAAGCATGTATGTGTCATAAATTATCATGAAATTATTTGGCAAGAATGATTTCCTGCAGAAACGAGACGCGTTGTTTAGTGACGGAACTGTAGAATCTACAGAGCGGATTCGATAAGAAGTGAGAAATGAAAAAAATTTAGGCTCTCAAATTACTAGCTTCTTCCCAGGCAGGGTAGTAAGCATGTTATTTAAATGGATAGATGAGTGGAAACAGAACTCACGTTTGGTTATTGGAGATGTCTGAGTTTCCCTTCATCAAATCGAAAAGTTCCCCCACCCCAACAAAAAGGATTTTTGGTATAGATCTCCACACCAGTTTTTCAAAAGCTGGCCGACTACCCCCTAGAAACTGGAGTCGGAGGTGATTGAAACAATTTGGTTTTGGTGAAAAGAAGAGTTCTTTTGACATTTTCTATTTTCCGATGCTTGTTTTGTTCTTGTCTCGCAAGGGTCCTATATTTGCTTATGTCCTTTTATTCATTCTGTTAATTTTATCCGGCGTTATGATTAGGGAATAGCAAGGAAATATACTTTCCCGTAGTTAACCATGGATCACTCAGAACAAACACTACAGCAACAGCAGCAGCCTGTGGATGGTGCCGTAGCAAGTTCTGGCCAAATGGCATCATATGCTCCTTCGTCCTGTCAAACTGCTCCCATAGTGGCTTCTGGAACTCTTGCAGTGGCCGTCACTTCCCCATCGCAGGCCCCCACCACTTTCCCTGATCCGTCACATCAGCTTGCCTACCAGAAAATACAGCACTTTCCCCACCGCCAACAGGTGCAGCTTCAAGAGTTCTGGTCCGACCAAATGCAAGACGTTGAGAAAGCATCCGACTTCAAGAATCACAGCCTTCCACTTGCTAGAATTAAGAAAATAATGAAAGCTGATGAGGATGTTCGAATGATATCTGCCGAGGCTCCAGTTGTATTTGCAAAGGCATGTGAAATATTCATATTGGAGCTGACTTTGCGCTCATGGATTCACACAGAGGAGAACAAAAGGAGGACATTACAAAAGAATGATATCGCAGCTGCTATTTCAAGGACTGACGTCTTTGACTTTTTGGTTGATATTATCCCAAGAGATGAGTTGAAGGAAGAGGGGCTCGGAGTGACCAAGGCTACCCTCCCGGTGGTGGGTTCCCCAGCAGATGTTCCGTACTATTATGTTCCACCGCAGCATCCAGTGGGAGCTCCTGGGATGATCATGGGGAAGCCAGTTGATCAACCAGCACTGTATGCTGCTCAACAGCCTAGACCACCTGTGGCTTTCATGCCGTGGGCTCAGTCTCAACCTCAACAGCCGCAGCAACAGCAACAAGAAGCCCAACAGCAGCAGGCAGATACTTAATGTTGATGATTCTGGCCAAGCTAATGTCAAATCTGTTCCCGGGCATAGCATCTTATCGTTAGAGATGAGTTTTAGGTTGGATTAGTTGCCGAATATGACACTACACCTTACTGGATTGTGCAGTGAACTAATGTTAGGTTGTATTGTGTATGTGCTTGTATTGCTACTGATGTGAAGTTTTACGTTATCGCGTGTTATTATCTCGGCCTGTTCCTTTCTGTTTTTTTTTTTTGGGGTTTTTTCTCATTCTTCTTTGGCACCTACTCTAGACATCGAAATTTCAGAGAAATAAATGTACCAATGCATTAAAATTACAACCTCCACTCATTTCACCTACATCATCCATTTACTTCACCTACAATCTCCACTCATTTTACCTACATCATCCACTTATTTCACCTACAACCTTCACTCATTTCACCTACATCATCCATTTACTTCACACAAAAAAAGGATGGTGGTGATTCATTCTCAAAGCTTATAAATAGGCTTCTCCATCAAGGGATCAAGACACCAATTCACATATACATTTCTCTACTCCCAAATTAGAAGAGAATTCCCCAAATCCTTGAAGCTATGAAACTCTAAAGCTTTCAAGCATCCAACCTCCCAAATTCCCAAGAATCCCGAAGGATCAAGAAAGCTCTCTTCGTTCTTCGTCAAATCCTTGAAGAAATCTACACAACCATACATCAAGATCAAGTCCAAAGGCCCTTGAAGATCCGTTCATTGTTCATCAAGATTAAGCCCCGAAGGCCCTTGAAGATTCGTTCATCCTCATTCATCAAGATCAAGCCGAAATGCCCTTGAAGATCCATTCATCGTTCATCAAGATCAAGCCCCGAAGACCCTTGAAAATCCGTTCATCCTCGTTCATCAAGGTCAAGCCCAATGCCCCTTGAAGAAATCCACACAATTGTTCATCAAGATTAAGCCCTGAAGGCCCTTGAAGATCAACAACCCATTCACAAATCTACACCTTACGAAGATAGAATCAGATGATCAAATTGTAAAAGAGATTGTAACCCCAAAATTAATACAAAATATTATTTTGTACACGCGTTCTTGTCTCATTCATCGCATGAGTTGTTGATCTTCAAGGGCCTTAGGGGCTTAATCTTGATGAACATTTGTGTGGATTTCTTAAAGGGGCGTTGGGCTTAACCTTGATGAACGAGGATGAACGGATCTTTAAGGGCATTCGGGGCTTGATCTTGATGAACGATGAACGGATCTTCGAGGGTCTTTGGGCTTGATCTTGATGAACGACGATGAACGGATCTTCAAAGGCTTTCGGGGTTTGATCTTTATGAACGATGAACAGATCTTCAAGGGCCTTTAGGCTTGATCTTGATGAACGGTTGTGTGGATTTCTTCAAGGATTTGACAAAGAACGGAGAGAGCTTTCTTGATCCTTCGAGATTCTTGGGAATTTGGGAGGTTAGATGGTTGAAAGCTTTAGAGTTTCATAGCTTCAAGGATTTGGGGAATTCTCTTTCAATTTGGGAGTAGAGAAATGTATATGTGAATTGGTGTCTTGATCCCTTGATGGAGAAGCTTATTTATACGCTTTGAGAATGAATCACCATTATCCTTTTTTTTTTTTTGTGAAGTGGATGATGTAGGTGAAATGAGTAGAGGTTGTAGGTGAAATAAGTGGATAATGTAGGTAAAATTAGTGGAGTTTGTAGGTGAAGTAAGTGGATGATGTAGGTGAAATGAGTGGAGGTTGTAATTTTAATGTATTGGTACATTTATTTCACCGAAATTTCGATGTTAACACATTCGGTAGAGATCGAAGGTATTTGTTTCTTATGTGGCCTAGTTTGTTTCAAAAAGAGGATCAAGAGTTCTTTAGAAGTTTGAAAATTGACTTAATTTTAAGTGCTTTTGATTGTTACCTGCTTTTATCTGCTGAGAGTTTCCTGTCTAATATTACCATATATGAATTGACCAGAAACCAAATATGCCCGGCTTCCACTTGTCCAGGTGTTGCCTTTGTCATGATTTTCCTTAGGAAAGTAAACTGTATATCCTCATCCATCTACTCAATTGAAAACCTCGCCGTCAATTCGAGAGATTCTTACATACAATCAAAATATTGTCTGCTATAAGAATACAGGAGTATCTCCACGGTGGCACGAGTATGCCTTCTTTGATTTGGTGGTTCCATTATAGATTCCAACGTAGCTACTTCGTTGGCTCATACCAAGTAGGCATGACTGTACAAATCCATATTTTAACTCGTTCACTTAACAAAATCATGGAATACAGAGCAGGTGATTTTGTGATGCAAAATAGATCAACCAACATGATCATGTACTTGGTGTGTGAATGTGAATGTAAAAGAGTTTTATATTGTTGGAAGAAGAAACGGTGCAAGGGTTTATGTGAAGTTGGACCTCTCTCTATATACCATATTGCCATTTTTTTAACATACGATCTGTACACTAGGCAACGAGTGCACTAAGTCTCACAATAGATTTGCCACAATAATATGGTTCAACTTCGTCTTTAGCGATAATCAAACCTAAAACCTTGCACTAAGCCTCTCACAAGGAATATGACTAAACCATAACTGACCCTCATATTGACAATTTGTTTTATAGTATAGTGAAGCTTCAACTTTCTTCATACTATTAGAACCATATTGGTCGAGAATAAAAGTTATCCGTATCTGGTTTTTAATCCTCAAATCTTAATCATTGTCTCTTAAACTAAGCAAAAACTGCAAAAATAAAAAATTCGCATCAATGAAAACTTGCAAGTAAACAACACACACACCATCATCAATAAAATTAAAATTGCCAGTGTTCCCCTTTTTACTTTCACAAAATTAACCCTAACCCTAAATTCCACAACAACAAAAAAACTGTAACTTTCTTAAAAATTAGGGTAAATTACATAGTAACCCCTCAGGTTTGAGGTCTATTACAACCTCATACAACAACTTTAACACATTTCACTTTCATACCTCCAGTACCATTTTATTTCAAAATAACACATCCGTTAGATTTTCCATCCATTAGTATGTTAAATGATGACGTGGCTGCCACATTTGTGCTGATGTGGCTGCCAAATGTGTGCCACGTGGCAAAAATAAAAAAATTTTAATTTTTTTTATAAAAAACCTAAATCTTCTAAATAAATTAAAAACCAAAAAAAAAAATCAAAATAAAAAACCATACAAACCCAGAAACCCCCCGACCCACTTCTCCATCTCCTCCCTCTTCACCCTCCCATCCCTTCTCTCTCCCCAGACCCACACCTCTCATCCCTTACAAACCGTCACCCTCACCCTTCTTCTCCAGTTCACTTGTGTCCCGCCGCCGCTATCTTCCTCCTCAAACCCCCTGCTTTGTTTATCCAAATCCATCAAACAAAACAAAAGCAACACCAATTTCACATCTTTACAAAAAATTCAGAAATGCTAATTAAACCCAAGCCAGTCGGGAACACAGTCGATTCGGAGCGGGGCATGCGAGCTCTCGTCAATTAGGAGCGGTGGGTCGGAGGCCGTGACCGGATCGAGAGGAAAGGGGGTTCAAAAGATGCAGCCTTGGGGGGTAGCCATTTGCGTGGGCGAGCTTCCAGTGCACGAGGTCGGAGAGCTCGGGTTCATGGTGGGTGATTTAGGGTGGGAAGAAGAGAGTGAATTTTTTTCTGGTTGGGCTAGGGTGGTGGTGGGTCGAGTTCGTTGGGGTCGGGGGGGGGGGTGGGGGGAAGGGGGGAAAGTTTCTGGGTTTTGGTTTGCGGAGGTATGGGTTGCAGGGAGGTGTCTCTGACGTTTTTTTTTTGTTTTTTTTTTCTGGGTTGCGGAGAAGATGAAGACGGGTAAGAAGATGGGTGCGGTGGGGTGTGTAGAGGAGGGAAAATGGTGGGTGCAGGGGGTGGGTGCACGATGGGTGCCACGGGGAAGATGAAGATGATTTTTTTTTTCCTCCTCTTCTTCTTCTGGGTTGCAGGTTGGGTTTTGGGGGGTGGGGGAGGAGGGAGGGAGGGAAGACGAAGTGGGCTTTGGTTTTTGATTTTTTTTTTTTTTAAGTTTTATATTTATTTAGAAGATTTAGGTTTTAAAAAAAAATTAAAAAATTATTTTTTTTTGCCACGTGGCACACATTTGGCAGCCACATGGCACAAATGTGGCAGCCACGTCAGCATTTAACTGACTAATGGATGGAAAATCTAACGGAGGTGTTATTTTGAAATAAAATGGTACTGGAGGTATGAAAGTGAAATGTTTTAAAGTTGTCGTATGAGGTTGTAATAGACCTCAAACCTAAGGGGCTACTATGTAATTTACTCTAAAAATTAATATAATTTAATTTTCAGTCTTCATCGACTCCTTAAAAAAGCCCAAGCATACTCATTGCGAAGCTTCTGTTCTTTCTCGGGCGTATTATTCTCGACGCCGAACAACTTCCTCACGTACTCCACGCTCTTGTTCTTGATCCGATCGGTGACGCACCGGTACAGCACCTCCAGCATTTGATCGACGTTCAAGTAATACGTGGCCAGGATCAGCTGCATCAAGCTATCGGTGCTCTAGTCCTTGACGAAATCGTTGTTGAATTTCCTCAGCTCCTTCTTCGACGCCTCCTCGTGCTCTGCCTTCCAATTCAGATCCAGGCTTTTGGTGCAGAAATCGATGATTTTGACAAGCTCCGCGTTGTGGACGTTCGGGACCGGCATCACCACGTCGCGCCCCACGCTCTCATCTTGGAAAAAAGTCTTGACAGTCTGGAACTGCATCGCAACTTTTTCGTCGATCTCGAAAACCTCGTCGTCGGAGGTCTGAGGGAGATCTTTTTCTCACCTTCGCTCCGTCGTCGACGGCGCCTCTTCTTCCGCGGGGCGGGTGCTGGTACAGGGGCTTCGATTTTCTCTTCCTCGGTCGACATGTTGTTTTCTGATCGCAATTGTAGGGTTTAAAGGGTCTGGAAAAAGGATAGAACTTGGCGGAATTGGATCCTCTCAGAGCCACGGGATCCTCTGACAATTAATCAAAATTTTAAATTTAATTATTTACTTAATAAATTAATAATTAAGAAAAATTAGTTAATTAAATGATGATTATAGTATACCATGAGTCTTTCTCATTTCTTTTCTTGAGTTTTGCAAATTTTACAAATGATATGATTGTTCACATCAGATGTCACCTAAGGTGGTATAAAAATATAGTATGAATAACATTACTCTTTGAGTTTTAACTCATATT